GGCCTCACTAGAGCTTTGTAGGCTTTTTCATTGATCTCTGAAGAGGAAATCTTCATGGTTCGCCTAAGAAAACCAAGGAAACTGTTGGCACTATTAGTAATATTACTAATGTGGACGCCCCACTTCAGGTCAGAGGTAGTAGTAACCCTTAGGTATTTGGCCTGATCAACATGTTCTAGTGCTTGGCCGTGCAGCGTGTACTGGTGGAGTATTGGCTTCCTGGTTTTGTGTATTGACAGGATTTGACACTTACCAGGATAAAAAGCCATTCTCCATTTACCCTTCCAGTTTGCAAGAGCATCAAGGTCTCTTTGCAGGGATGCGGCATCTGAGGTAGATGTAACTGTTAAGTACATAATTGTATCATCTGCAAAGAGGCGTACAATTGTGTTAATACCGTCTACTATGTTATTGGTATAAACTAGGAATAGGCTGGGTCCCAGTTCTGAGCCTTGGGGCACACCGGACTGAACGGGGACTGTGTTAGAAGATTCGCCCTCAAAGACAGTTTGGAACCTGTCGGTTAAAAAATTTTGAATCCAGGTGTAAGTGTTGCCCCTGATGCCATATTGATTTAATTTATGAGTTAATAGAAGTTGACTAACCTTATCAAAAGCCTTACAGAAATCCATTATTAATACATCGGTCTGTTTGCCCATGTCGAGATATTTAGATACGTCGTCGTCAATACATTCTAATAATTGGGACTCACACGATCTTTTTTGACTTAAGCCATGCTATAAGATATTATGTTTATCAGCATGCTTCATAATATTCGATACAACGACATGTTCTAGAATTTTACAGGTGATAAACGGCAATTATATAGGACGATAGTTTTCCGGGTTAAACTTGGGGCCTTTTTATAAATCGGGGCAATGATAGCCGATTTCCAGTCAGACGGGGCCTCGCCAGTTAAAAGAGAACGATTAAAGAGTTGACATAATATGGGGGATATTTCTGGAACTGGCTCACTGAAGGAGTTTAATAAGGAACTGATGACAGATTTTTAGATAAATGAAATGTTCAGGTATTTAACCTGTGAACAATATATACTTTTGATATATGTTCATGTCTGTGTGCGTATTTGCACAGGGGCAAAATGTCTGGGGCGTTTCTGTTTTGGTTCACCGGTTTTGCTAGTAAACTTCCAGTTGTCCACTTCTTGACGCGGTGACACTCCAATATGCCACTAAACCTACCAAAAAAGTCATTTTGTAGCCTTTGCAAGGTATGTATTTATGAATCTAGACAGTTGTCGATGGTTTTGAACTTCAAATATTTAAGTTATTAGCTAAAGTATTTGGTATTAACATAAAGTAAATGATTTATTTGTGTGAGTCGGACCTGGTAAAGACGGACTGAAACTGATTATTAAGTATATTGGCCTTAACAACGTTATCAGTCTCAAGAAGTCGGTCTTGTTTCAGGGATGATATACCACTGTGGTCTGTGCGTTTGTGCTGTATAAACGTCCAGAATGTTTTCATTGGAGTGAACTCATTGAAATTGGTCTGTGGGTGATAATATCCTTTATGTATTCCTAGTAGGACCTCCGGATCAGTTTCTGAACGATATGTTTAATGTCTTTAAATATTTTAATGGTCTTCGGGGATCTGGATTTCTTGCATTGCCTGTAAAGCTGGTCCCTTAATTTCAAATGTTACCAACGGTATATTATCTTGACAATGCACTTGATACTATCCCGTATTCAATATCATCCACCTCGTTCGTATATACACATCCGGAACGCGCACTTGTAACGCCTGCGCGAAATACAAAAATATAGTTGTATCCAACTGATATGTCACACTTAAGACTCTTGTTAAAGTTTGTGGTAGTAGGATTCTTACTTCTATTGGAAGAGTTTTTATCATAAAGTCTTTAGTATATAGGGCTGCTAAGGCAACACTTAACCCCATTAGGAAAGATATTAAACTACCTTGGTTTCGTTTAAAACCTTCAAAAGCGAATTATATTAAAACGAAATGGCAAAATAAATGGTTTGAAGAAAGAAGCAATGAGTTATGTTCAGTTTAATCTAATATTAAGGTTCATTTGCAAAAGGTAGAGCAGACCGCAAAGAGGAAGTTAACCTCTCGCGAATACGCATAGGCCATAGGCCATACCTACACCACACAGTATCGGTGTCAGCTTTTGTGAACACATTAAATGCCCATTATTAAGTTGAAAAATGCATCTCTTATGGAAAAAGCGATATAAGGTCGCAAGGGTTTAACAACGAGTGGAAAAAATGGCAACAAAATATGCAGAACTGATTTAAACAATACTTTTATTTAATAACTCAAGAAATATAATACATTTATACAATTCATGAATATATTTATTTAATAGTCGACAAAAATAACACTTTTACACATTTTCTTATTTTAACTCCTCTCTCCTATAATATATAGAATTAGTCTGTCAACAGTTTGTCGATATACTTATAGTTTTACAATACAACATCGATGTAAAGAATATAGACTTAAATTTCAGCACACAGTTTAATTGTTGTTGGTCCAGTACATTACTTCATCTGCAGCTTCTTTGTATCTATTATTTGTCTTCCTTCAGTTACGGCTATCTCTATTTTAAATAACCTGTTTTATATATACTAATTATACATGTATATTATATGCAGTACTCAACTTCAAATTATGTTCCATCTGTATGTAAGGCATTTAGGTGAAGAGTGAAAAAGGATTAAATTACGTATTCATACATTATTTGCATATTTTTTTTTATTAAACATTCTTACTTACCCAAATGTAACTTCATATTCCTCTAGTTCAATTAACCTCCATTGAATTCAAAATATCCAATTAATCTTTTCCGTAATAGAAATATAGTACTATAAACATAAGCATGCTATTTAAATCAATGGAAACTTGGAGTAATCAGTCCCTTCGTATATCTCCTATGACGGTTAAAGCTTTTAGCACAGCTGACCCTCTTTCAAGATTCAAGATTTGTTATTACGCTCTGACACACAAAGTGTGTAACAAGAGGTCAAACAAAATAACATCAATCAAATAAAACATGACAGAGAGAGTAGATTACACATGGACAGATTCAGCATTATTTCATGAAAAAAAATCAGCATTATTTCATGGACAGATTCAGGAATATTTCATAGATAGATTCAGCATTATTTCATGGTCAAATTCATCACTATTTCTTAAGTGTGATAAAGCAAGATTACACTCAGAAATCATCATCATCGTCAAAATCATCATCATCATCAATCAACAAAGTAGCATCCTCATCATCATCCATTACCAATCATCATCATCATCATCATCATCATCATCATCAGCATCATCAAAACAAGCATTGTTTGATGTACATATGTATCGGATGTTTTGTTACAAAGTATCATTATAACCAACACATGAACAGTTTCAGTAACATTCTTTCATGTTATCGACATTTGGGTTCGTGTAATGATATTTTGGAATATTTTTTTCCCTAATCTGGCGTATGGATTATTGTTGCCATTTAAAAGGATAGAGTATTTTACGTCTTTTGTTGATTTCATATGGGAACTGTTCATTGACGTGATACATCGGTTTGGAGTGTAATTTAGTGGGAGCCGCTGATAATACTCTGTCCTTATCTTTCCTATTACTTAACACTGCCACGATCGAGCGTGGCCTGCCATCATGTCGTGGACGGAGTCGGTGCACCACTTGGAACGGTATATCATCCTCTATTCCAAGCTGATTCTTTATGAAATCCTGTAATACTGCTTCGGTATCTTTAGGGTGAGTTTCCGTGCCAGTCTCCGTCTTTGGAATGCCCCTAAACAACAAGTTGTTTTTCATGGAACGTGTCTGGGCCTCGAGCAGCATCTCATTGACCTCGTGTGTTTGTTGTTTCAGGGTCACTGGCATCAAATGTTTAAAATTATTTTGAACTTATTTTTTACCTGTTCCTCCATTTAACCAATTTAAATATTTTAGCCATTGGTTTACTTTGAACGATACTAGTGTGAGATTAATACCATGTGAGTGAGTCAGGCCCATGTGACCTCTTGTTTGAGAAGTTGTTATTATTTTTCGTGTTAGTTGTAGAAGTTATTTCCCGTGTTTTGTTTCACTGTCTGTCACCCTTACATACAAAATAGGTTCTAAAGTTTGACAAGATTGTCAAAAGTGTTCAAAATTGTTCTTGTAGCGAGAAGAATATAAGTTTGCCCATGGGTGAAAATATTTGTTGCAGCTATTGTTATTTTTTTTAAAAAGAAGCATTTACTCACAGCACTTTTGTACACACGGACTGCTTTACATACCATAAATAATAGAGAAGAAAAGTAAATGCGTCGAAATTCCTTGATAATTACTGGTATTTCTGTATACTATAATATTAGAACTAGCTTAGAAGGCTTAGTACATACCTTATAATTCTGTGTAAATGTATACATGTTGCACCGGTTCAGGAGAAGACATATCGGCACTGCCTGTTGTCTAATCTTTTTGTAAACTCAATCAAATTTGTTGAAACCAAGGCTTAACACAGGACAGCTGATCAGGTCACGTAAACGAGAGAACGATAGCTCGAAATAGCATTGTTTTCTTTTAATTTAGTCAACGCTAATACGTTCATCATAATCCTTCTGTGTCTTATTGCACTTTCTGTCCTCTATTTACATGAAATAGTCAATATTACTTTTAATTTTGCGAGTATTTTTTGAAAAGAGGAAGTTTTTACATAAATGGGAAAACAATTATGTTAATATGTTGTAGTGTTTTATTATTTACCGTACTACGTATGCAGCGAAGCCGATAATGTCCGAGGTTAAGTTTAAACACATTGTATTGCCATAAATTCAACAAAAGGATTGGGCACAAGTTACAGGAACATTATAATCACCCTTTCCTTACAATTTAATAAAACATATATGTACATCAGAGGATGGCTAAATATATATTACATTATAATTGAATGATACAATAGAAAAGAAATAGCGAGAGAGCCAAAACATATTAGCATTTAACAATTTGAAGTAAATATTTACCGATACATTGATGTTCACCCATATGCTAACACAACCACATGCACACACACGCACTCTCGCACCCACTCCTACACGCATAATAGCAGTATACATGTGCAACAATTGTGATGAATCCTCCCAGCACCGACAACACTAGTGATAGGCTTAGCACTAATCATCACACTGATATTTCTATTGTTCATCACATCCCGTGCCATGTTGTCGTTCTCCTGTTACTTCCCATATGTACATCCTCGAAAATTCGTCTCCACTGTGCCGTCCGCGCCGGGAAGGGTCCATCGCATGACTGGACACATATATGTCCGAGGTGTTACTTCTACTGACCTTACCTGTAAAATAACCCTACGTCTGGAGCGCATATGTAGCTCACATGTGATTGAACTTACCTGGGTTTAAATCATCACGTATCGATACGTTCATGCTTTGCTATACCGGCAGACAGGTAAATGAGGTCGCATGAAAACACATTTAAACATGTAAACAGAAGATGGCGGAATGGACACATGCCTTACCCTTTCTCCTTATCACACTGGTGTGTATACCTGCGGTTATTACAGGTAAGCCAAATATATATGTTTTCCTGGTATGGTCATCGTATATCAGAACGGGACTGGGTCGATCGTACAGCTCGGCTATCAGTTTACATGCTAGCAAACTACTCATGTTGTTTATTTAAAAAAAAAATGGTTTGATTTCCATGTGAATAACAAATAACCATTGCGTGTCACGTTCCTTACAGACAGGTAGGTCGATAACCTGTTATAAGTCAGCATCAGATCCACGCTATCACATGGGGCAAATCCATTAACATAACCTGTCTCCAGCACACATACACATATGCAGGCATAGCACAACACACATTGAGGCATGTCCTTAAACGACTTTAGCTGTTGATAGGTCGTTAAACCATGTACAATTTACTTTGCCGCGATGTTCAGATCACCTAATTGTAGGTTAAAAATTCCATACCACAGATTGTGAAGCGGGTTTTCAATTATTTTTTTAAAGATAACTCTTTGTTTAAGCAGGATTTAAAAATGCATTACATCGGTCTAAAAATTAAATCTTTTTCCTGTGCGAGTATATGGAATTACCTATCTATTTATATCTATTAGTCTTTATCAGCATTTGTTTATCCCTTTACCACTTCAGTAGGAAATAAAGGTAATATTATGTACAAAACTCGACATGTCTATCCGCTCCACCGATATATGGAAGTATGTCAGCACCGTGATGCAATTTTAAATTCAGGTTAAACAATTGTTTACCCTTTCTAAGGTCAATATGTTTCATAATTTAAGTTCGCTGATTCAGTTATCCATCATCACATCACATACTTCGTTTAAAATGTTTCCCAAAGATCCATTCATTAAAAACAATGTGAGAGATTTTTGATCTTTCTCTATTTCCATATTTGGCCTCAAATTCACCCTTTTGCCCCAAAGGAGGGGATCACAGCCTCAATTTATACAAATCGAGGTTTTTTTTACCTGAAGCATGTTTCAGACCATTTGGTTTAAATCCCTTCATTTGTACAGAAGGAGAAATATTTTTCTCTTTTTCCCTTATTGGGCCCCGCTCCTCTGCCCCCGGAGGAGTGGTGCATATCCTCCATTTATAGATATTAAATTCCCTTTGCCCAATGATGCTCTAAAACAATTTGGCTAAAATCCCTTCATCTGTACAAAAGGAAAAGGACATTAAATGTTTTCCTGTATTTCCCCTAATAGGCCCCACCCAGCTGCCCCAAAGAATGGACCCCACCTATCTGCCCCAAAGAAGGGGCCCACACATCTCAGTTTCTACAAAATTCTTCAGACTGCAATGGTTTAAATCCCTTCAGAGTAGGAGAACACGTTTCCTTAATTTTCCCTATTGGACCCCGCCCCTCTGCCACCAGGAAAGGGGCGGGGGTAAACTCTCCGTTCAAAGCTGCTCTAGAACAAATTTGGTCAAAATCTTTCTATAGGTTGAGAAGAAGAAGATTTTTAAAGATTTACCTATTTCCCCCCTATTTAGCCCGCCCCCTGCCTCCAGGGGGTCATACCCTCCGTTTATACAAAACAGAGAACCCTTTGGCCAATGATGCTCCAGCCCAATGTTTTTGCAGAAAGTTCAATATGAAAATACCTGCCGTGGCTATAGTTTGTCAATCGACTGTTTAACTAAATATTTGGACAGGATAATTTTGAACACATATTTTCTCTGAAGCATACATTATGTTAAAAGAGAAAAAAGATAAAGGGGGAGGAAGTTAACATATACCTTCTTTTTTTTATTAAATACAACTCGAGTTGTCAATTGCAGGTGCGATGCTATCAATGGTAGAAAGAGAGGAAGATGTTCGGTAAATTGATATTTAAGGATCAGCGCGTACAAAGGATGTCTCAATACAATTCGTGTTGTCCCGGAAAAAACCAGTACTACAGGATGTTTAAAGATACTTTGGATTAGATTATTACCCTTTTTTATTTAAACACATTTTATTGCATAAATGAAGCAAACGGATTAGGCACAAGTTATATCAACATTACAAAGGCCCTCTCCGCAATAAATTTTACATAAATTGAGAAATAGCATAATTTGATCACAATGAATACCATTTTTTCATACAATAAATGAAATAATACAACAGATCCAAATATGATCAATTAATGTCATATCACATTAACTAAACCTTTTGCTGGATTTTATGTACTTTTGCACATTTCTAAAAATTGAAATGTTTACTTTTACCGAAAGATTTTTATTTCCTATGAGCAGTAAATTTATATCAATGACAACATCTATATTTAAATCATCTATATTTGAAAGAAGAGTACGTCTTTGTATATTATAACGAGGACATATGAAAAAGAGGTGGTAGGCATTCTCACAGGGGTTTCCAGTTCTCAATCAGATTTACTCTAAAAGGGTCATAATTTATCGGACTACATTTGTACCTCAACTTTGTATGCAATATATGAAGTTTTCTTTCTCCAAAACTGTAGAAAGATAGTGCTTTTTGATTAACTGGATGAGAAATAGCGGGTTTAAAAGGACAAGATCTTGTTCAACGTCTAACCCGTTCCATCCCACAATTCCCAGGCGTACTCAAACACCGGTAAAATGAAATTAAAGTGGTATCGATTTTCATCAAAGTATTCCTATTAAGAATATATTTTAACTTCCTGAGTACATTTATCTTTTTCATTAAAGACCATTTCACACTTAAATTGAAAACAACACCCAAGTGCTTATGCGTTTCAGTAAAAATTAAAATTTCACCACCAAAGATAAGATCAAGTTGATTGCCTATATTAAATAGCCCTAACATAGTGAAGGACCACGATCTTTGTTTAACAGAAAAAACATATATTGTTAAATGTTATTTTGATTTAGGCAGCAATACCTAAAAAGGAAATATTCACATAATTACACATGCAAAAGATTTAGTTTCGATGGATGAGCGTCTTTTGATTCATCGACACATCCAAAATGTGTACAAAAATGTGTTTGTAAAACGCTGAACATGTAATACGGAAATATAATTGCATATCATTACATGATACATGAAAAATATATGCTCTCTGCTTGGCGACTTCGGCATCGTATTCAAAGTAATTTAGCACTCTAGAGTTTGCGTCAGATCCGCACTATTGGCTGGAGGCAAATACTCAAACATACCGCATCCAGCACACACACAGGCATCCAGCACACACTCAGGCATCCAGCACACACTCAGGCATCCAGCACACACTCAGGCATCCAGCACACATATGCAGACACGTCTTTAAATAGTTCCCCCTCAGACATGTCCTGTTCATATTTTTGTAGGAACCTATTGTATAAATGTTGACATTTATTTCTAATTGACGTGTTTAGATAAGGAAAATTAAATTGTACTGTAATCATCTCCTGTATTTATTGTGTGCAGTGCCACCGAATGCTACCTCGTTCAACATTGTACCGGCCGAGGTGTTCTACGAAGGGGACGATGCATATTTTGACTGCGTGATGGACGGAGGACAGCCATTGGCTACTTTAGCATGGAGTCAGTGTGTTGACCAATTAAGAGAGACTTCAGAGTCTAGGAACACGGCCACACGGTCTGTACAGAGACTGACGATTCTTGGCATTAACCGGACATACAATTCCAAAACTTGCACATGCACTGCGAGCCATCCGGAAATAATGACCAGTCAAACTCTAGTTAAAGTATTGACTGTGTATTGTAAGTACAGTGCTATCATTCCTGATATACAAACACGGCTAAATGATACATTATATTTTAAAATTAGACTTAATTGAAATCGAAGCATGAGCTTCATGGTACCCCCGCCTCCTGTATATCTTACAATGTTCGAAGCCCAGTGGCTAATATATGTTGTAGAAACCTGTGTTACACTTAATTCAGTACTTAAGATTAAAGTCAAAGGTAAATGTAAGGTATCAGCGGCTTTGTTTAAGGATGCAACCCAACTGCTTTCCATGATGAACATCAACACAACTGCTTTCCATGATGTACATAATACAAAGTTTGATACCGATTCATAAAACAGCAGCAGGTATGTGTTCCATTAGCCATGTTTTGAGTACTTGAAGTTAAAGGTCTAACGTCCAATAGAGGTCATCGTGACCCTGTTTAGGATGCAACAAACCACATTCTCATAATGTATCTATATACAAGGTTTAACGCCATTCATACAACAGTAGCTGATATATGCCATGGAAGACTTTATTTGAGTACTTGAGGTCTAGGGTCAATTGAGGAAGCAGTGACCAACTCATAAAATGAGACATATCGCCGCCATATTATGTACATATACACAATGTTTGATACCTATTTATAAAAAGTAGATGCGATATCCACTGATATGTCAAGATAGGTGATCTAACACTCAATGAGGTGGCCTTGCGTCATTGAATGATAAATCTATCTGAAGAAAGTTGGAATATATATGACTTCGAAACCTTGAGCGATGCGGCAGATCAGTTTAAGTTTCTGTAATTTTAGTGTTAGAATCTGCATGATTATAATATACATGAAATTCATCATGACCACAAAGTAAATATATATGATTTACATTGTATAACAGACGAATTTTAATACTTACCATTTGAAATATACAGACTAACATATAGTACAACTCGTCTTTCTAAAAAGGAAAAAAATAATTACAGTCACTAAGTCACCTAATAATGAAGTGATAAATTTGTATTTTATTGCATTTTCAGTAACTAGTCGCCCTCGCCTCCTGACCATCAAATGCTTTAGAACATGTCTCAATACATTACAAGTGATTAACTGTATTTCTCGGAGTGACACTCTCTGGTCTGCCGTTTTAAGAATGACGTTTTGAGTATTAATCTAAATTTATTTGAATTTTAAAGCCTAGGATGTAGTTACGTTACTATCTCAGTCATCACAGGTAATGTTTAGTCACTGTTACATAAATGCATATATAATGCTTACCTATTTTCGTTTTTGATCACGCCATATTCCTCGTATATTATAATTGTAGACGTGATACTCATATTAAACATTAGGCAAATGTAGTCGGGTAATATATGGCACGTACAGTTAACTGAGATACTGTAAAACACGAATCGTAAGTCATGCGACGCTAATTCCCTCTTTCCGTTTTGCTTAACCCGCCGTTTAACGTGAAATACTGTATTTAATAATTCATGTACTTTTTATTTTCTCACTTAATTTACCCGCTTTACGGAGGAAATAAACTATGAAATTTAAACCATGAGAATATTTCTCTGTTTGAAGTATTGCATAAAGTACATCCATGGAATATATCAAAAATGTTTTTTGCTTTTTTTGACAGATCCCCCGGGAGCCCCTGTCGTATCTGTTGATACGTCGAAGGGTGGGAGACTTCCTTGGCTTGCAAACCCGTCATTCACGGGCAGTCTGCAGTGTCGTGTAACCCCCGGGAATCCGGATTTCCAAGAGATATCGTGGTATAATAATGGCGAAATAGATCCATATAGGTCGCTTGAATATCGAATGTTCGACCCCCCGGATAAAATTTACAACGGTCGAAATTTCACCTGTAGAGTCAGCAATAAATTTACAAGGGAGAAAGGAACCGTCGTCGAGTCGAATGGAATAGTACTGGATATTCAATGTGGGTATTGAGTCTTTTATATTGAAGTAAAAAACATATTTAATTGTTTATCATTCATCGTTTTACTGAATATTATTCGAGAAATAATAAGGAATTCCACATTGTCGATATTAATAAGAGGAAATGAAAACCTACAACCGAAAGATATAAATCTGCCTGATCCTGATTTTGATTTTTTTTAACAATTTCTTTATTAAACAAATTGGCAAAATAAATGATCTGAAGAACACATATGGTACAGGAATTAATGAAACCTTTCAAACCACCAAGCCACGCTTCGTGTTGTATATACGATTTATGTTAACTTTTTATTTGGTCTCATGTTTTACTGTTTTCGTTTATTTGTTTTGACCGAGTTTCGATTAGTCATTTGGTATTGGTACTTCAACATACTTTTTGGCATATGCATTCAGTACTTGATGAACTTCTAAGCAAAACGGAAAACAATAACCGAAACAAAATGATAAAGATACCGAAAAATAAGGATTTTTCAAAGAAGCCTAACACAACGTGAAAGCAAATACAGGTGCTCCGGAAAGTTAACTGTTTCCTGAACAGAAAGGGGGTCGTTCTTTTCCTGAACGATCCTAGTGTTTAATATCAACAACTAATTCTCTCTGTGTCAACCATTTTCCAATGTCCAGACTAATTCGACAGAACGCCATTTATTTGTTTACAGATACGCCCGTCATAACGCTTGATCAGTCAAACGCCTATGTCAACGAAACCATGTCCTTCCGCCGAACTTGTTCTGCTGAAGGAAACCCTACTCCTACAGTGACGTGGACAGGCGCTTCGTACAGGGGTCCTATTGGTCCTGTTGCGGTTCTCGAACTCAATGCGACCGACAGAAGTGATACTGGAAGTCATTTTTGTTATGCTTCATCTAATGCCAGTAAAAGCTACCTACCTTTGTCAGCTACGAAGTCGTTTACTCTTTTCGTTCAGCGTACGTATTGTGAATATATAGAATTTAAACGTTAATATACAATTTGGTATTGTTTGATTGTGTTTTACGTCCTATTAACAGCTATGGTCATTTAAGGACGTGCCAGGTTTTGGTGGTGAAGGAAAGTCAGAGTTCCCGGGAAAAAACCACTGACCTACGACCAGTACCTGGCGACCCATTGGTGGAGGGCTAGTTGTAACCGAATGTAATACGTCTTAACCACTTGGCCACCGCGGCCCCCTTAATATACAAGTATGACAATCAGATTCCGAATTGGGTAGAGCTACCTATATGAGGCCCCATGAAATTGAAGGCCTTCTCTACAGGAGGCCAAAATTAATTGTTTTTCACAAGACATACATGCAGTGGGATACAGCAGGCAATTCTTTTCGGAATCTGCACGGATGACAATACGGGTCATCGATATACAAAATAGTATACAATATGCAGTTTGATTGATATTTAAAGCAGGTATATGAAGTTATTAACCTGAGGAATTTGTTACTTTGTCAATGGAAGGAGGAACTTAATCAACTAACATATAAACTGAATAGATCGTAGTTGTTGATTGTAATTATTTCATGATGATGCACTCTAAACATGTCTCTGTCCGGTTGTAGTCATGGAATATGACATTTCATTTCACAAAGATTTTGTTGAATATTGTATACAAATTGAAGAGTCATAAGGCAACAAGCATAGTGCCTATACAAGCTGTCTACTGGTGTGGACAATGAACTTTGATATAGTTAATGCGGAATACGTTTAAACAGTTCTGCATCGAGGACAGAAATCATTGACCAGAGTCCCCACACTATGACCCATTTGCGTAATGGGAGTTCTATCCCCTTAGCATAGCAGAATTGAAGTTAACTTTGAGGAGTTCATTCGAAATCTCTCATATGAATAAAATGGTGAAAATACAGATATCAAACTGCAAGTCAATATTTATTCATACAAAATCTGATAAAATTAACAATTAATTTATAATTAAATTGGTTTTCTTAAAAGCGATTGTTTGAGTTTTGATGTTCTTTGAAATGAGGTTCAGTTCAGTATTACGTGACAAATCGTTATAATCTTTGCGGCTTAAACTGTCAGATTTAATCACATCCCGGATTTACATTCGTTTTTCTTTACCTGGATTTGTTTGTTTTTGTTATTATTAGTATTTGAATTGCAATGTCAACATTACTCTTCAGATGGACCAGACGAGGTGACATTAAACATGCCGGAAAACACAACAGAAAACGTGACAAATATTCAACTCATTTGCCAAGCTTATGGGCTGCCCGCCAGCACGTTTCGGTGGACGCACTCGTTGGGTGGCGAATTGATTAGGGACACATTTGATCACGTGACTGAAACTCAGTTGTCTAGCACTTTAACACTACATAAGCTGACTTATCAAGACATGGGGACTTACCGGTGTGAAGCTGAGAACGGATACAAGGGCAGGGACGGACTTTTTGTGTACTCTCAAAGCGGACTGTTGAACGTCCAAGGTAATACCAATTTGTTTACACATCGCAACAACTTCAACATTTTTCAATGTGAATCATAAATGTGGTGTTCAACGTGTCTGTACTGCATTCATCTTTATGCCCTATATGTGAATAAAAGAAGAGATATGAATAATTAAATTAAGAAGGTGTGTGATTTTAATGGTAATTTCTTCATAAAATATTTTAATAAGAATTTAATCATATTCGTATGCACCTTTAACTGTGATTGTGGTGGTAGTTTGGGAGGAGGGGTGTGTATATTATCATCGAACATAGATAGGAAGTGTTGCCTAGTCGCCGTTTTAATCAGTGTGTAAGTGTATTTATAATTATAGCTATCACAAACACAGCGTAGTTATCTTTGTAATTCACTTAATTAAAGGATCTATTTCTTTTGTAATGAAACGCCCGTTTATTTGTAAATGCAATTGGATATATATAACAATAAATGTAATGAATAATCCTTATTATCTTATAAAGCAATCAGATACTTTTTCTGAGTCGGGTATGTTTTTAAATATTACTCTAAATATGACAGTATTCAATATAGTCTTGTTTGATGTTATCATTTTTTTGTATTATTCTCATGTGCTTATTATCGTTTTGTTGGATATTATCACCAAACGTATTCATTTCATTTCAGCAAGACCAAGAGTAATCAACGCAAAGAAACTCTATGTAGTGGAAAAGGACGAGTCTCTTGACATCAACATAACATTCCATAGTTTTCCGAAACCTCATAAGATATCAATCACGAAGTTGGATTCCATTCTACCTTCATCAGACGATCTGGCTATCAGTAATATGTCTGTACCGGTCTCACTACCTTTCCACACTAAACGAATAACAGTTGATGGTTCCTTGGTACGACTACACTTCAAGAGTGTACAGCCACGATTGGAGGGCCAATACCAACTGTTTGTGAACAATACATTACCGTACTTCTATACAGTTCAAGTAACTATATCAGGTAAACCTGTGCCTGGACAAACCAAAGTCTTTACACATGATTATTGTTATTCAATGCTTAACGGTCAACTTTTAGGGGAATGACAACAATCACAATGACAACAACAATGCGCCCGTTGTCAGGATAAAGTGGCCAGGCGGAATGCTGTGCTGGGTAGCTTTGATATCGTTTTTCTGTGAAATAACACTTTAACAAGAACTGATGCCGCCTTTAGAGTGCTACCTCACTCAAATAGCATGCCGAAGGCACCCAGCACAGTTTTCCACCCGAACCTGAATGTAAATATCATAATTAGTCCAGATCTCTATTTTCTCTGAAATGAAGTGATGTTTAGTCCTTAAATTACCTTATCTGTTAATAGGACGTTAAACTATATCAACGCAGAAAGCTGCATACAAATGATTTTCGTGTTTTTGTTTACTTATCTATCTGTGTTCACACATTTCGGCACTCATTCATTTCAGATAGGCCAGACCCCCCACAGCACCTTGCTATTGACACGAGAAGTAGAAACCATGACAAGGCTGCAGTTTCATGGTCACCAGGCAGCAATGGCGGGCATGAACAAATATTTACTGTGATGTACACTAAATAGAATTCAGGCATCTTTGAATCTCTAACGACAAATCAGACCTATCCGGCAGTGCGAATTCATAACCTTCAACAATTCACAACATACGAAATCACGTTATTTGCAACAAATGCAAAAGGGGAGAGCGACCATATATACGGAATATTCACTACAGAAGGTATGTCGAATGTTATACCACAATTTATTACATACTTACTAATAAATACGTTTTTTTTGTATATGCGATACGACACAATTGCTCTAACCCATATCAGTCCTCGCCGTATCACACCCCAAAACCCGTATCAGCCCGCAAAACCCATATCACACCCCTTTTTCAATATTTCAAAAATAAAAATAAATCATAAGATAGTAGTTTAGCAAGTATGTAACAAACAGAATAAAACACGCCTTTTTCCATATCACACCCAGTATCAACCCTCGACCAATATCAGCCCTCGGGCCTTCGGCCCTTGGGCTGATATTGCAGTCTCGGGTTGATACTAGGTGTGATATGGAAAAAGGCATGTATTATTCTCTATGTATACGGGATATTCACTACAGAAGGTATGTTGAATGTTATACCACAATGTATACGGGATATTCACTACATAAGGTATATTGAATGTTATACCACAATAATTCAATCTTGCTTGTAACAAGCAATTTCATTGGCCTAAAAAATTATGTTATCAGCCCATAACGTAAAATAATGACGTCACCGCTTGTAACATCGCTTTTGATTGGCTGATACAGCAGCGCAATGATTTCTAAGAGAAAAGAGTCAATCAATAAAAGTGGATTTCTACAGGGATTGTGTAAAGTATATTAAATTATAAGGATTAACTTGATTATATTTTTCATGTTATGGAGCGATAACACAAACAACCGGACAATTGGTAAATTGATATTGCTGCTATACCTTATATTCCACCATGCACAGTTCGGCTTCCTAAAGTAAATGTAGACTTGCACAACTATGAAAAATATTGTTTTTACCCAGTTTTTTACAAGAGCTTTTATTGTAGAATATACTTCACGATTTCCTTCAGATACAGTTCTATAAACTGACGGCTCTAAGGTTGAAGAGAAAGCTGCAGCAGCATGTGTTGTTAGTAGCATATCTTCTATTCTTGCCGTTTACCCAATAATGCATCTATTTTAACAGCTGAAGCAACTGTATTGGTCTGGCTTTGGATGAAATTGAAAAAAAAGTGATTAAAAAAGCGATAATCTGCTCGGACTCGTTATCACTGCTACAAATTATTCGCAGTTCAACATAACGTTAGTTCATGTGCGGCAGCGCATATGGCATACCTACGTCACACACAGTTATATAAAGAAGAACAATCTTCTGGGCATGCATGTGATCAGCCAATTACAGTCAAATATTTTGTGATTTAATGCGATGATAGCAAACAAAAAAGTGCCAGATTCTATAATGTTTCGAGTATGAAAAGTGTATTTGATACAGTTTCTGTCCAATCAATATGTGACTATTTACACTCAATTGATCTTTATAATAAGCTCTGATATGATTTACGACCAATTTGTTCCCTGTTGATATATTCTTACACTTGTGAAACCCTTATATTTCTAGTTTGATGTATTCATTTTTGTGATTGCCTATTTTAACGTGTTGTTTGGCCCTAAATGACTAGCAGTGTCGGTGGGAACAATACAACTACAAATACAAATGCAACACGATCGCAGACAAACTGATTGCTGCCGATAGTTATACCAATATATCTGCAATATGTTTGCTGTTTATAATTCGTTTAATATATGCAAGGCAACACGGACTGATTTTACCTACCAAAATTTCCATTTTTTTGGGGGAAACGTTTTAATAATGTCTTTCCAAAGAATTGTTTTCCTCTCACAAAGTCAGGCAAGCGTAGCGTTAGTGCTCCGGCTATGTACACACACACTGCGAATAGTAGCTGCATTTTTACTCTCATCAATAAACCTCCGCTTTGAAAGGATAAAGAATGGAATTTCCATACCAATCCCCATAACTACTTGGATATATAGAGAGTGATTGGCAACACCTCGATTCTGGCTTTAATGTTGAATGTTCGCCCAGTTGCGGAAGGCAACGGGTTCTTTCCCAAGGCCACGACACAACAAAGTCCTTAAATATGGTAGTTGTTATTCCCTGCTTGACGTTCAGCATTTAGGGTAATTGCAACAACTGGTTCACTCGTTCTCAGTATAATGTGACCGGGCGGAATGCCGTGCTGGGTGACTTCGGCATGGTATTTCATTGATATAGCACTATAAAGTACACCAATATACCATGTTTCCGGCACACATACACACAAGCACACTTACACAACGCACATGGAGGCACGTCCTTAATGAATTTAGCTGTTAATAGGACGTTAACCAAAATAAAAACAAACCATAAAACAGTTCTATAAGCACATCTGATCGTGCACTGATCAAGATATGATCAGTTATGATTTCTTATGTATAAACTTAATTATAGAACCAGAGTGGAAATTGGATTATCAAGGGGGAATTAAAATGTCTTTACTCCCAATGGAGAAAAAAAAAGCATTGCACTTTTTTTTCTTTTATATATACCACTTATGAACACATTTCCTATTCCAGTTTCTGAGTTGTTTATCTTATATGAGTTCAAATATTTTAAAACGAAATAATATTCTAAATAATAAACCTCAAGGTTTTAGGAAGTTATGAATCATATATTTGTTGTTAAATTAATCCATGCTTTTTTTTTAATAAAAGTATTTAAGATACCTGAATATATGTTAATTGTAGCATATTCTTAACATGAAATATGTTGCAAGAGCAAGCTGAATGGAAATTCTATTGCATTGTCCTACCAGGCGAGGTGTCGCAGACGGATGCTATAATAGGTGGAGTCATAGGTGGCAGTGTTGCTGTTGTTGTGATCATCGGTGTTGTTGTTGCAGTTATCTGCATCTACAAAAGACGGAATTCACATGGAATCAGTAAGCATAACGGCATGTATCTCTATGTGTTAGGAAAACGCCCATACTTTCACTTGCATGTTTCGTCTTTGTAACCACAATTATATATCAATATTCAAGTTACCGACAAGTTTGTTTATCCAATTTTTAAAGGCTCAACATAATAGAATATCATAGTTATGTTTGCCACTTAGTAGTAGTAAAGGAAAAAAAGAATTGATTCTAAAAGTAATGGTTTTGTGGTTTATAGCTTGCATGTCCAATGCACTGAGTACATTAAAAGGAAAACAAAAAAGAATCGCAATATAAACAAGAAATGGTTGGCTAACAATTTGACGGGCCTTTCACCGTTAGGACTGATTTGGTCTTTGATTCCAAACCTTTTTTTTTGAAACCTCATGGTCTTTTACCTTTCTGAAGAAAGGGACATACAAACCATAGTACTGAAAGTAAGTGTTGTTTTTCGTTTAATATAAATCAAAGTTCTGACAGTACTCATACAATTCCAAAACTGTAAAAATTTGAAGATGGATTTTGACAGTCATTTTCCTTGTCGAATATCATTGACCTTACACTTTTCCTTATTTGGAAGAGTTTTATTTTAAATATTTTGACATTTTTAACCCCTGTTACCTTGAAAATTGAACAAGGTCAATCTTTTTTTCAAACTTGATAGCTAATCACCTGAGCACATTACAGCTCAAACATTAGGACCCTATATTTCGTAGAACTTGAGAACAAGTTACTCAAAGATTTTACCTTGAAATAGCACATTTAAACATTGACCCCTACACAAATGGCATTCTACATATCATATCAAAATTTAATGTAAACTCTTTCACTGTTTTTGAAAATAAAATCTGGTTGAAAGAAGTAATTTACCTCTTTGACCTTGATTATTGATCAATGTCAACCATTTTTTTAAACCTGATAGAAAAGCATACGTACATCTAAACATCAAGACTCTAGACTTAACGGAACTTGAGAACAAGCTTTTCAAAGTTTGTTACCCAAAAAATGCATTTGAACTTTGACCCCTACCGAAACCTAAAGTAGACCTTTAACGCAAAATTGTTTCCTAAAATAAGTTTTGTTTTGTAAGTCTACATAACATATCCAATATAAAATCAATGGCTTTATTTGTTAATGAGTTATTGCAACTAGGGAAAAAATGGATTTGACGTCATGGCGGCTATCTTGAACATGGGATCGAAACAAAAATTATCAAAAAGTTGATAGATAGTTTCGGCAACCATAAATAATCACACTGAAGGAAATTTGTATAGCAAAACATCAGAGTAAAAAGGTTTTAAAATTCAAAATTGCGTAGACTGTTAACAGTGAATGTTACAGAAAAACTAAAGACATCAAATTCATCAGGATAAAATTTCCCGTCGATTATATAAAGTATTTTTCAAAGAACTTTAAAAAATAATAAAAGAAATTGAAATACTGGCAATCTTTGATCTAACAGCGAGGATTGTTATTTGACTTTTCTGTATTATGATGTAAAAAGAAAAGTTAGCCCTTAAGAATATCTACAAATAATATTAATGCATAAATTCTGTAAAATCAAGTTTTTGAGTTATGGCCATTTTAAAAGATTTTAACCTATGACGTCATAGCGGCCATATTTGATTTTTGACTGACATGAAATTGTAGCAACGACACCTTTAGACCTTGACCTTTTTTAAACTCATACGACTTTAAACATATTATTTACAAATTAAAATAAAAGGTGGTCACAAATAGCAGCGAATAATAATAAGAACGAGAACAAGAAACATAACAAAAACATTAAAATAAACCATAAGTAAAAAGCTCCAACTAATATGGAAGGAAGGAAAATCAGCGTAGAAAATACAACAACCGAGGTAGCAATAAAAAATTCGATTCCAGTTTTAACCTTGATGTACTGCATTATCACTGTAATTCACATAAAGCGTGTTCAATTAGCGCTACGTACCAGTTGTGCCGATATAAATAAGGCGATCCACTAAATTAGATGTTACGTTCCGCCGAAACGATCTGGTTTTTCGAAAACGTCTCATTTGAAGGTAGCAGGCTGGATCCAAAATTGCGGCTAGTGAAACAATTTCGTTTCAGATGTATGTTCGCGAAATTGTATATTTGTCTTTGCAAAAAATATTAACTGTATTTGAACCTTCATGGTGTGTGAACTTTGTAAATTGTGGCATTTATCCGCATTGTTGAACAATTTTTCGCCGAAAAAGTTGGTGGGGTTTTTTCCTGTTAAATTTGCACGCATGGAAACGTGATCTGTAACCATTGTTCCTTTTAACAGATCAGTTCTGAGTTAAAACATCTGGAACGTTCCGTTAAATCGAATAAACTGATAATTCAATAACCAATATATTATTCTGGAAATTTTCTTCAGACACGTTTTCATACAGATCTGACATCCCTGTTATTAGATATATTTATTTTCGTTAAGAGACAGGCGGCAGATAAATAACGTTTATAGTATATTATGCTTGTGAAAGTACTCAAAAGACCAACCCTAAAGAGCAATGTTCTTCCGTAGGAGCGTTTATGTTAGTTAAAAGGCAGCTTTTGATAGGTAAAAAAACATGTTGAGCATGTCATCTATGTTAAAGAAATATTATAAGTTTTATACACAGAGGTATATCGAAGCAATGAGCAAGAGTGAAAAAAGTAAAATCGAAAATTCATATATAACAAAATTTTCAGCAAAAAGTACAAAAGTATATACAGTACTAAGCCAAATTAAACATCCTAAATGACGCTCTAACATCAATGCTATTTTTGGATATTACATTTGAAAGTATAGATGCTAATGGTTATTATTTTAATTTGTATTGTAATGTAACAGTGCTGGCCACAGACTCTTGAGCAGTACAAACTATATGTATCTATTCATCAAAATTTATCTCATTCGTCTTTATTGTGTTTCCATTGCAGATCGATCAGAATATGAGTGAGTATTTTGTCATAATTTCCTTCCGGGTGAATTCAACCGTTCCACGTTTTGATTGTTTACTGAGAGTGGAATAACAGCATGACGTTGCTACCTTGTAGGTTAACTTTTAATTGTAAAACATCATCAAAATATATCGCTCTACCAATCCTTGGCTGATCAACAAAACATGTTCACATAATAAGTGAAGGTAACTAGTTGATTGATCGAACGGCAAACTAAGCCATATGTAAGATAAGTTGACATTTGGTCTGAAATGGCAGTTATTATTAATTGTTTCCTCGTTTTAGAATGCCAAAGGCTTGAAACACTGTCGGTGAACGAACAAGACGATGCGGACATTTTGTCTTTCCAAGAAAACACTATTAGTGGACAGAATAAGATTGGAACATTGACAATGGAACGTAGGAAGTTTATTAGCTACAAGTGTCCAATCAACCAGTTATTAGTGTTTTAATGGTTAAATGAAAATGGAATATAGCATGACGCTGTTACCTTATTGTTTAACTTTTATTTGTAAAGCATCATCAAAAGACATCACTCGACTAATCCAAAGAGTGATAACAACCGATCTCTTTGAACTTTGCTTGATAAAACCGTGCATCAACCGAGTTCGGCTTAGTATACTATTCTAGCATAAGCCTTTAACGTCTACAATGAAAAACAGGGCCAGAAAATCAGATGAAAACCTTGCAACGACGTCACGTTGTCAGTACAGGTGTTTTTTTCTGGACTGTTTACATTATACAGGTATGACCTTATTGCCATGCATGTGATCAGCCTTTTACATTCGAACATTTAATGACTGAATGCGATTATTTAAGAGGGAAATGCGAAATTCTATAATGTATTGTATATAAAAAGTTTATTTTATACATTTTGTATTCAATCAATATATGATTATTTACATTTAATTGATTTTGATAATAAAATTTGATATGTTTTAAAACCAATTCGTTCACTTTTGATGTATTTTTACATCTGTACACCTTTAAGCCGCTTTTATTCCTAGTTGAATGATTTGTGTGAATGTCTATTTTTACACTGTTGTTTGGCTCTTAATGACTCGCATTATTGGTGGGCAGTGAAACAATAAAAAACAGAACAATCCATTGGCTGATCAACAAAATATGTTCACATCATAGGTAAGTAACTATTTGGTTGATCTAACGGCAAATTAAGCCAGGATTAGTTGTCAGTCTCCATATGGCAGTTTTAATTAACGGTTTCATTATTTTAGAATGGCGAAAACTTCAAAAACTGATATTGAACAACCAAGATGATGCGAACAAAAACAATTGCCTTAACAAGATAACACAAGCAGAAAGCATGAAAAAAACATTGGAACATTGTCAACGCTCCCTTTACACATATTCAGCGTTTCCTGTACATTGCTACTTATATCCGTCGGAGCTGTTGGGGCGATATAACAAGGTTCTGACATTTTGGGCACTTAAAGGATTTAAGTACCAAGCTTTGGGTTTGTAACCACTTTATCAACACGGAATCCTGTTTGCGGGAAGATCGAAAAAGTTCCACGGGTTCGCCAAATGAAATGTTGTCAGCATCTTATGATCGACGCCGAAAGTTGTATAATCCTCCATCCCTGAACTAATGAGAACTCATTGACTTAGCATGCAGTTTATGGGCAGATTGGTCAAGTGATTAACACTATGCAGGCGGCATGGGTTTGATCCCTTAAGTCGTCGTACGCATGGATATTCAGAGAAAGCGTTTTTCTTCTGCCTACACAACTCCAACAATCTAGGTGGAGTATACATTGGTCTGGGGTAGATGTTGCGGTATCTGTGATGAAGCATTTAAGTGAGGTGGAACTATAGATAAATGAGGTCAATTCACATGCAGTACAATTAAGGAGCAGTCCTATGCAAACATAAACTTCCAAATCGGTGCTCAATTTGTTTTTTTTTATCGGGAGCGGATGAGAGGTTGTAGCTTTCAACGGACGTCTTAAGCTTTAACAAAACTAAACCAAACCACAAGGAGCGGGCAAGCACACCAACATACCCTGTCTCCTGTATACACACCAACATACCCTGTTTCCTGCATACACACCAACATACCCTTTCTCCTGTATACACACACGGAGGAAAGCACACCAACATACCCTGTCTCCTGTATACACACCAACATACCCTGTCTCCTGTATACACCCCAACATACCATGTCTCCTGTATACACACCAACATACCATCTCTCCTGTATACACACACGGAGGCAAGCACACAAACATACCCTGTCTCCTGTACACACACCAACATACCCTTTCTCCTGCATACACACCAACATACCCTGTCTCCTGCATACACCACACAAGCACGCATACACTTCATACATGGAGGAACGTCTTTAAATGACCTTAGCTGTGAATAGGACGTTAAACAAAATTAAATCTAAACTAAACCAAGCATGGTGTTTTATTGAGGGCTTTTGTTTAAAATACTACATCATATGTGCAAATATCGAGATTTTGAATTTGTGTATTTTGCACGGATCTTGCCATGGCCTACAGAATTGCTAAAGACTGTGCCCTCTGGGATAAATATATTGACCTGATTAGTAGGAAGCCTCTAGCGCACAAGTTGTATAATGAAGTATGATCCCCAAGGGTTACAGTGTATGCCAAAAAAGAAAAGAGTGACCGCACTTTAAAAGACTATCTGTTTAATACAATTAAAGGCATTTCAATCTTATTTGGCACGTGATAATTCAATATTGTAGACAGAGGAGTCGCGTTGAAACATCGATATAAGTATTTATTTGGAAATACATCTTCTTAAGTACGAATGTAAGAAGAAAATTAACAAAGAAACAAAACACAAACAAAATAAACAGAGACTACGAACACCAACTACATTTGACAGTTATCACATGAACGGGTGAGCAGTTTAGATATACTCTCTCTCAGTAAACTAGTGTTTAGAATTCGCGGATATTAGTCTTAAGCGCGAATATAGCGAAATCAAAACCCCCGCGAAATATAACCGCTTTACAGTATGTTCCCTATCCCAGTATTGACTCGCCTGAAATAAGGTCAGTGTTGTCGGACTTAACATAAATTAACAATACACCACCTTGCCATAGAGCATCTTACCGTGACGAAATCCAATAATGTCTGCCAATATAAAACACATCTAAATATAGATGCAATGCAATGACGGCCGAGTGTAAGGCCATTGATGAGAATTTCCCATAACGTGGTCCTATTTTTAGACTATAAATATTTATTTTCGTTTTATAACGTCTTCAGACTAAAATCATCTGTTATTGAATAGTTATTGGAATGGACACATGTCGGTGTTCTAACAACTGAATATTTGTTGGAATTAAGCTGAACAGATAGACATCACAACATTTGTTTCTTAGTCTACAGTTCATTACTTGTATTCAGGTAGGTGAATGATCTCAATGTGATAAACATTATTAAGAAGATTCCAGTTTTTGTTAGTAGTAATACAAACGCTGACATGAGTGGTATAGACTGACTGGCACCGGGTTGGTTTCGACGACATCATCGAGTTTTTCGGCTTACGTTAGGCCTAGTGTACGGTTTTTAGCTAACGGGTTGGTTTTGACGGCGTCGTCCAGTTTTGTGATACTAGTAAAATGAAAGAAAGGTTATTCTCACGAAATGAGCATAACTTTTGATCGTGAGGATAACTTTTCCTAACTATTTTCAATGACGTCGAGTTTTCGTATGACTATAAAGTGTGTATTTTCAAACCAACCTCATTTATTTAAGAAATGATTGCCCTCCCCTAGTGATGCTTCAGACTAAATTTGGTTGAAATCATCTTTGGCGTTTAGGAGAAGATAGGTTTTTTTTTAAGTTGACGACGGACGACGCACGACGACGGACGCTGCGTCACGGCATAAGCGCACGTTTATTATAAAGTGTATTATCTGACTTCCAAAATACTTAAACACCTTTATATCAATTATTTGTATGACATTCCTGTATTTGGTGCGGCCATTGGTTATTCATGTGTGGTGATTATGCAATGGTTTTTTTTTTATGTTGATAGAGTCTTTGGAAACAGTACGTCATCTTTAATGTAACTGCACTTTATACACAGGAATATCATTCATATAATAATAATAATAATAATAATAATAATTCGAGTTTCTTATAAACCGCCTCATCACAACCTAGTCTAGATACCTTTTTACACTCAGAATACTGTTGTTGGATATATTTTGCTTCTTTCATATTTATTATTTCTTACAATAGTCCCGCCAGGTTTGGTTTCCTTTTCACAAACGGTTTATCAAATGTATAGTCATGTCGGAAGAAACAGTTGCCAATACTTAGTAACGACTTCTGGCAGTGGTAATATAAGCGGATGCACCTATACTGTGACGAAGTCATTCGGAACACCTCGACCCGAATACAGTTTCTTTCATCAAATAGTTAGATGACCGAATTCGGTGCTCCGAATGGTCTATAAGTAAAACATTTATTTATGTACAATTTCAGAAAGTGTTATGACCATCAGTCGGACTGAGACCGCCTCGTTGTTTATACTGGCTGCGTTGGCTATACAATGTAAGTATATTCAATTATGATGCTAAAAGTTACGAGAACAAGTAATTTAGACAGATAACATGATCACAAATATATTTGTGAAACTGCAAAATTGAAAATACAACAAATTCTATTGAAACGGGAAGCGTTGCAGATTCCCCCAAATTTCCTTTTTTTTAGATGATACGAAATCAGAAAATACATCTACATTCCAAATAAGAGCAAAATGATCAATACAGATGTATCTTAACACACTCCTCTAGAATTAATAAGTATGGAACAAACAGTTTTCCAGAAATACTTAAAACAAATAACAAACTAAAACAAAGGGGAAGTTGCGAAACGTAAGAGTACACTTATCTTTACTCTTTACTACCTCGGCGTATCAGAAGTCGCAATGACTATGTTTGGTGTCCGATCGGAAATTAAAGGACAATATCTAAATTTTAACTTATCAGAAGTCAGTTACGGCGGCCATCTTGTCCAGTCAGGAAACGGAAGTCGCAGTTGTGTTTGCAGTGCCATTATGCACCTACATACCGAATTCGGGCCAAACTAGACAATATCAAAATTTCGACCAACCAGAAGCCATTGCGATTATGCTTGACGACTGGTCGGAAAAGGAATGCGTTCTTCACACCCACACTTGCATATCAACACTCATGTCCCTTTTCATAAGATCCCAGTGGCAGAATTATTGGAATCAATGCGTAGACTTCAAAGTACACTCTATAAAACCTGAAATCGGTGAATGGTATTCTACAAACGTAGCTAGAGAGAAAGGCGCCGAGACGAGGTTATCCTTGCTTGTCTCCGAATTACCAATCGTTATTTATTGAAACGTGAAGCCCAGCCACAATGCCGAGCGTGTCAATAAGAGTTACTCCTGGAATTTTTATTGTAAGGCCATTGCACACTTATATCTAACCAAACTATTTCTTGTTGCTTGTTATCCATAGAAGAACGTTGAAAAAAGCAATGAAACATTTCAGATGATATTTCAGTACTGTTATTGTTACAAGTGTTTAATTCTTTGAGAAATTTGCTTCCGCATACTCCACGGGTACTGACGTATCTCTGCATCCCCGAAATATATCTTAGCAAAATTGAAGGCACGACGCCAGCTTTAGTTTTATTTTCAGGAAAAGAAAACCTTGATCAATCACTATATTGATTTCCTCTGACGACTACAGAGAAGCGACACTCGACTTCAAAGCCAGTCAACTTTACCATTAAACTACCGCGAGATTATTTTGATATGTTCATTAAAGGACCAAACTAGTCTTCTTGTTACAGCTATAAGGTGGCGCTCACTGAGCCTCTGCCTACGCTCTCTGCACGCTTGGTGTATCGAGGTATCGCCTATGAATACCAACTGAAAACAGACCAGTCACAATTCTTATATACATTATAAATATATAAATTATCAATATTTCAATCTCATAAAAATAACATTTTATTAGTTAGACTAAGAATTATTTTTCAACTAAATGCAGATGTTCATCTTGACAATGTCTCCTGATAAAACAATGGTAACTATCATAAATGTACACCATTGTTGCATTTGTATTTTTATTTTATTTAGAAAGACATTTAATATTATACAGATATACAATAGAATTTCACACCGTCAGCTGAATGATTTTTCTTCAGAAATAAATGCAACTGCATACTACATATTATACATGCTTTTCTATTATTGAGCGAATATTCAGTGCGACAAACAGGAGGAAAATTGGGGAAATTTCTGTTACCGACTCATCAGTGTGATATATGTATTCCAGTTATTTTTGCTTTATATTTTAAGTATATCTCGATCATAACAACAACATGTATCGTTGGTCGACGTGGTTCGCTGGCGATCCTATTGATCACTACCGGATCCTCAACGTAACTCGAGGTGCCAGCAGAGCGGAAATAAAGAAAGCGTTTCATAGACTAGCGCTCATTCTTCATCCAGATACAAGCCAAACCAAGGTACGCAATATTTCTTTTTAACACAGCAATTCCATCACCCTAGACAATTCGGGGTAACACTCTCTTGCATTTTCTCCGTCCCTGAAATGTGTCAAGACAAAAGCGAAGGCATTGTACGTGTGTAGACTAGTTGGACCCTTTGAGGTAATCTAAAGAGTCGCATGGCAGCGTACCGGTAAAATTACCCCGTTTGATGTGGGTATGGCTCCTCTGTTACCTTCATTTACCTGAAACCAATACAACAGCTAACTGCGTGCCTTCGATTTCGTCAGCGGATGCAGAGAACTGGGGCTTGTCACTTGCTATATATAGCGGAAGATATATAAAAGTGGGCTGCACATATGCATTATGGACGTAATCCGTTTGCCTAACTTTCTTTGTAATCTATGTTTCTACCGTGGGCAAATTAATATGGCGTCATGTTTAAGACTTTGTCGAATGTTTTCCAATTTAAGGATCCCCGTACGAAAAATGTAACTTAGTACTGGGAATTGTTTTTTCGGGATATGTTTGATACCGGAAGTCATTCTTTCTATCTGTCATCCAGATTGCATTCATATTTGCTGTAACTGCAATATGACAGACGTTCAATCGTAATACTTACATATCCTCATACGACCCGACTTTTATTAATTAGTCGTATGAGCTTAACTTATATTTACTGCTGCCGCAAAACCTCACTGGTCCTATTCTTGGAACAGCCGCAGATAGCCATTATAGGACTGAAAACTTTCCAAACAACGGTCGCCATATACAAATTAAAATTAAATATCACATGAATTGAATCTGAAAGTAAATTTGTGTGTATGCTATTTTGTATACGAAGTCCTTCACTCTGTGATTCCAAAATGGTCCATGCCATTCATGTGTTTATGACATGAACATTTAATAATCTCATTGTAAAATGTCATATTATAAAACAATTGTGGACTTCAGTATCGGTTTATCCCTGATTTACGGACCTGGTCTGAAAATCAGGGATAGAACTCACCTGAAGTCCATAATTGTATAATGTAACCAGGCGACAACTGTTAAATTCAGTTTAATGCTTTAGTATATGTGCAGAACATTCTAATACAAACGCAAGAACTTTCCTTCCTAATCTGGATGTCTTTATTGTCTGCATGAACCAAAAGACGACAACAACAAGATGGCGGCTATCGTATCGGTGGTAGGTGTTGCCGTCCAGTAACTACAGGCTGACTTTCAATGATAATTACACTGTAGATCATATATTGTGTACCTTGTGGGACTTTTATGAGAAATCATAAAGGTGAATTAAGCAAGTTTTAATCAACAACAATGATTTAAGTGTCAAAAAGTTTGAGGTCATTTAAAGGTGTACACACATTTGACCAAATATAACCGTTACGTGGGTCAATATCATTCAGATGAGAAACCTTGATAGTCCTTAATCTAAGCAGGTCACTGGCTAAATATCATCATCAATTTTTGGCATTTGGTTATTCAAAAGAAGTTGTTTAAGGGTTTAAAACATATTTGACCCCCGTAACCTTCAAGGTTCAAGGTAATTCATTTTAACAAACTTGGTTTGCCTTCATCCCAGCATGTTACTGACCAAATATCATCAGCCCGAGCCTCTTGATTTTTTCAGAAGTCGTTGATTTTTTTAAAACATAGTTTATCCCTGTGACCGTGAACATAAGTCAAGGTCATTCATTTGAACAAACTTGGTAGCACTTTATGCCGGTACGTTACTGGCCAAATATCATCACCCTGGGCCTTTTGGCTATTCAGAAGAAGTTGTTTATATGTTTAAACATATTTGACCCGTGTCACCTTGAATATAAGTCAATGTCATTCGTTTAAAAAAAATGGTAGCCCTTAATACATGCATGTCTCGCAACAGTTTTGAATCCATGCGACATATGTGTACTAGGATGCGTCTGTTCATTGGCTACAGAGTTCATCACCCGTATGAAATTAACATAATTGTATGCATGCTTACCTGTCATGGAAAACAAGCATATGCACGGGTGTAGTATGTTTATTCTGAGCATGAGAGGAAATAATAAAACAAGGGTGTGGTCCATGGACACGAAAATCTCAACCCTCGTGTAAGTTTTGCTGTCTACCAATCGGCTTATTTTTTGCCGAGTGCTTGACAGGCATCAAAACACTTACCCGAGGGTTCAGATTTCTCTGCCCTCGGACCACACCCATGTAAGATTATTTTAACCATACAGTCGGATATAATAGAAAAATCTTCAAATGATATCTCACCAGGGAATGAACATATACTATGATACAAAATAGTTATACATAAGTGTTTTATTTGGGATAGTACGAATATAAAACAGTAACATGTGGCTGTATCTATTTAATTTAAAAAATCGTAAGTAAATTAATTAAACTTCTTTTCAGTGCGACACTACGGAACTCTTTTACCTCGCGCAGAGTGCTTACGATATTCTCTACAACAAAATGAAAAGAATGGTGTACGACCTTTTTAACCCGGACGCCGGAAAATGGACTGTGGAGTATACGTGGGACATCGACTTCTGTTCCAGACTCTCCTACATTTTCATCGATGACTTTTTCCGGCTGGCCTGGCAAACTGTGTTGAGAACTTACCAGTATGGTTTGTATTTTAGTCTGTAGGATTGGTCAATACTGACTGCACCATCACGCTCCATTGTACTCCTGGAATATGTCATGACAAAATCGAAGGCTCAGAGTGCGCCACCTAGTGCCCGGAATGACACCAGAAGACCAGTTTGATATATACGTCTCTGATCAAAACAATATGTCGGTCGCGTAACGATCAAGTTGACTGGTTTTGAAATCGGTGGTCGCTCCTCTGTAACCTGAACATAGGACAAGTATCTGGCTATCGCGATTGGTCAGGGTTTTTCATACCTTAGACCAATCAAGTAGCTAGCTATAGCCGCGTGCCTTAAATTTTGCTATGACATACTCCAGGGAATGTAACCCTTGGGTATCGAGGAACTGACTGATGGAAACGATTTCCATTGTAGCTAAACAAAATATAGCTTCTCCTTAACTCATTTACCCATGAAGACACATTTTAACTCTTTCAATTCAAAAGTTGGAATAGTTAATTATGAAATTTAAGGGGTAAATGACTTAATAAGAACATAGCTGGTAACATTGTATACGTACAAGAATGAAGTCTGTGATCCCCTTTTGCCATCCATCAAATGAGCGATATGGACATATTCATTCCTTTTGTCTTGTTTCGTATTTTAACTTGTATGAATGTATCATCTGTGTTTGAATCATATACGTCCGCGCAATAAATGAGTGCTTGCATATATATGTGTCACTATATTATTATTCAGTGGAATGCTAGTCGTTTCGGTAACAGGTCGTTTCGGTAACAAGTATAGTTTCGGGAGTCCCGAAGTGACACAAGATTTTTCGGGACTTATCAAGTCGTTTCGGGACATATACATTTTCATTTATAAATTACATTTCGCTCCCGTTTCATAAAAAGTCATGTAAATACACAAGTATGGTTTTAGACTACCTGCGTCACGACCTACCCGGTCATTAGTGTTACCAGATTGCTAGAGCTTGGGGGGATACATGTATATACCTACCAGCATTTACCCGATTGACAGTGTCTCTGTGTTAATTGTTACCTGGTGAAACTAATCTCATTATTAAATACAGATCTAGAGGAACTTATGAAATTCAACATTCAATTTTTTTCGTTATTGATAGGTTGATTCCTTGTTTGATATTGTAATACATGTAATATGTTTTCAATTCACTATATTCTCCATTATTGACATTAGGAGACGAATCGATTCTAACAGTGTTTTAAACGTTTTTATTTTTGCTATATTTTTGATATTAAATTTCACGAAAGTAAAAAAGTGAGACACGTAGACTATATTTTAGACATGTGAATTAATTTATCAAATCCAGGTATATATTTTGAACGATATGTTTTTATGTTGTGTATTTATGTCAGTGATAATATTATATATATTTATTCATTCATTTGTGTAATGGTAAATGTATAAATGTATGACGGGAGAAGGCCATGGTAAGTTGTAATAACTTTTACCCAATCGATTGTTTAAACTTTAAAAAAAGAAAGGAAAAATCCCAAAACGACTTTTGACAAGTCCCGAAACGACCCGGAAAAAAGTCCCGAAACGACCCGGAAAAAAGTCCCGAAACGACCTGACACCATTCAGTGACGTCCGGAACAACCAACCAGCTACTACAGTCCGCGCAGAACTTTATTAACTAAACGGAGGAATCTACATGGCGTCTACATGTACAACACCAACCAACCAATGGCTTTAACGTTAGAACCGTTTTGCTTGCCTATAACTATACAGTATGTATCTGCATCAAATGCATGACCGTAAAATATGAAATTATGAAAAATCGTGGCCAAAATTCTTTAATCGTATTTTAACTGATCATGTGATCAACAATTTATATTAAACAACAAAATAGCGTTTTCAAACCTTCGAAGTTCATGTAACATTTCAGATATTCAAATATTTAAATATTGATATAATTACCTTAACAATTTCGTTCCGTATCTGAATACCCGGTCCCTATTTATTTTTACATGCCATGTGCAATTTCCGGTTAATGACAACAACACAAATTGTAACACGTATAACATCGGTTTTCTGTAACTTGACATTGTTGATATGGCCGATGAGGATGTCCATCCCCCGAATCTACAAAATGAAAATCCACAAATAGTTTCTGATGTCTTTGGTACTGGTAAGTTGTTCAACTTGTTGTGCCGAGATAATGCTCAGTATAACGGAGGCTTACATTTTGTAAACACAACTTTCATTTTCACTGACTCAGTGACTGTTGCACAAGCCCAGATTCCTTTTGAATATTTTAGCTCTCATTTTTGAAATTTGTGAAGTTGACAAACATCCATTCATGTTTCTTTTTGTCTTAATTAGACAAATGTATATGCTCACCAGTCACCACTCAAGTTGGTAAACGATAATTATATATAATAACACGGGTACAATCACAGTGGCACGGTTCCATTTATCAATATCCGTCTCCTTGTTTACCCGTTCAGTTATTATGTATGGTAAACAAGGAGACCTCAGATATAAATTGATCAATTGAACCGTTCCCATGTGGCGTACAATTTAATTTAAGTGAAACAATAGATTATAATTGACTATAGGAAAATTCAATGAAAAGAAATAGAGCTGCATGGAATATAGAGACATCATACAAGTCAGGTCCATACTATCAGCATATTGCTGTAGGATCTTTTAACTCCTTAATCAAAATAAACTTAAGTAGAGAATATTTCTGACTCAATATTTATACAGATGTTACCAATTAATGTTCATATCTTGAACTACTATTCATTTACTTTGTAGAACTGCATGATTAAACATTAATTTTGTTTTAAATTCACCAGAATCAATGAAAAAGTAACAAGGTTTCATTGATTGCTTCTGTTCAGGCATGTTTTAGTTTGACATTTCTGCATTACCATTGTTAGTTTTGTTACTGTTCAAGTATAATTAATAAATCTACAAGAAAAGGAAGAACTGATTTTTCCAATTTTCATACCAGCTTACTGTCTTACATTGTATGTTGACTGCACACTTTAAAATTGTGTGTGTATCATAATGAATCTTATCATGAAAACTGAGATATTTCAAATTTAGTAGCTGGGACATGTTTTCCTGTGATAGACCTAAATTCAAGACTCATATAAAGAGCCTATCAGTATATGTTATATGCGTTTATTTAGAATGCAAAACAGTTACAATAACGGTCACATTATTGTTACTTTGTAAAAGCATATTTGCTCTGTAAAATATTTCATATTTCAGTTTCATAGTCAGGAAGAAAGCAATATATAGATCCAATTTATTTCAATTACACTTTTTGAATTCATGACAGGCAGTTTTTTTATGGTAAATTATGACTAGTGGTTGTAGTTCTAATGCTTCACAAGATGGAACTCTGGTAACATTCCAGCTCATATGTATGTTTTACTTTATCTCTGTATATTAGTTAAGGAAAACAACCTTAGCTAAGATCAGGGACCTATGCATGTCTTGAAATGGCTTAGATATATAGCTAAAACCATGAATTTTAAATAGATGATTGGTTCTTGAACCACTGAACATTTTAAAATTCAAATAAGATCAGATCTCTAGAGTAACTAAGATCTTTGTATTGATCACTTAATATGTTTAAATCTAGTTAATGTTGCACCTGCTATACAACTGATTTTTCTATAACAAATTTAATTTATATTGAAATATGTAAAGGTCACTATGGAAAATAATTAAAATTGCTTTTTGGGAAAATCATGGTTGCTGATCAGTATATTATGTTAAGCTGTTAAGTGATACTGAAAAAAACTACTGCATACCAAATCTATGCTCTTGCTAGAATTGACTCATTTCATATTTTTCTGCAATTTTTCAATGACTAAGAAAATAATAATTACCATTTGATCTCAATGTACCATTTTAGTATTATTCATTCGTGCATTGTACTGTTTTGATATGTGTCATCATCAATGAAATTTATTATAATGATTTATTCCTTACAGTGACTGGGATACTGCAGCAGTATGGCTGGTTCATAGTACTGGCATGTCTAGTTCTGCTGTATATCCGCTCCAAAATCAAACCAGCGTACAACCAGATGAAAAAGAGAGCTGTGGAAAGCAGAGACAAAAAAATTGGTACATTTTATCATAGTTTAGTGGATTTCACCTATTAAAATATCACATTCCACAATATCCCACTAATTTTATTATGTTTTCATGTAGCAATTTTGTCTTTGTAAACTAATTAAAGAAAAGATTATTGTGTCGTCTGCAAGGCGAGGCGACATATAGGTATTACTTTGTCTTCAGCGCCCTTGTCGTCAGCTGCGTCGTCTGAAACAAGGTTTCCGTGCGATACCTTGAATTCCTTGGGTTGATTGAACTCAAACTTGGTACACATATTGCATACCAATATATAGAGCTCGGACGAGTGTGCATTTCAGAAGATGACATGCTTTTTAGCTCACCTGCCCGAAGGGCAAGTGAGCTTATGTTATGGTGCGGCATCCGTCGTCCGTCTGTCCGGCGTCAACTTTTTGCTTTAAACAACTTCTTCTCAATAACCAAAAGGCCTAGAAAGATGATATTTGGCCAGTAGTATGCTGGGATCAAGGGCTACCAAGTTTGTTCAAATAAATGACCTTGACCCACTTTCAAGGTCACAGGGGTCAAATATGTTAAAATCTTCAAACAACTTCTTCTCAATAACCAAAAGGCCCAGGGTACTGATATTGGGCCTGTAGCATGCTGGGATGAAGGGCTACCAAGTTTGTT